AATAGCAATAATCTATATAAATAAAGATTGCATACAAGGATTTGATACAGCGAGAAGGAATTTGTTCGTAGGAAGGAAGATGTAAAGTAAATTTAATCTCACGGTTTAAGGGAAGACAAAGTGTACACACCGACGCCATTGTGATCGATTCTGAGCCATGTCACTCACAGTTTCCAACCATTGGTCATGATAATCAAGCGGACCCCAACCAAGTAGTTTACATCTACCAACATTGTTAAAACTAGAAGTTAGTGATTTCAAGGACTGATGTCACGTTTTGGTTTGTCCGCCCTTAACTCTTTATCGGTTAACACAGAAGCATTGTTTAAAATGTTGATATGGTTCTTATGAACTAATGAATAGCTATGCTATTTATATTTGATAAAACAGGCTCAAATGAATGGTGTATTTTAATCCCTATATTTGAGAAATAATAACATTTCAAGTCTAAGATGTCATACAAAATAATTGGTCAACATAAAGATTAGTCACTTCCTTAACAGTATTGACTATAAAACTTTCCGGTTGGCAAGCATTTAACCATTTATATTCGTAGTTATTTTATGCTTTCTTCAAGTTCTCTATTACCGAGTAGTGATTTATTTACAATAACTGATCATGGGCTAATGATTACTTTGTTTTTAAAGTCTTTTGTGTTAAACAAATGACTAGCATTAAGATATAGTGTTGACATTAGGCTAGATGACTTGAAATAGCCTTTCCATCTGTTAGATGTTGTGTAGTTAAAGGTAACTTAGGGGAAGCGCTTGACTTTTGATGTATGCAACTTGATAATTTTTCCAAAGCTACACAGTGGTTAACAGTCATATGCCATAACTAATGAGCAATCACATTCTTATATATGAGACTACTGAATATAGCCTATTACCACGAAAATTCAGGTGATTCACGGAATGACTGAAAGAATATACAGTCTCGAACATTTTCTGAATAAACTAGAAATTATCAGAAAGGGGGTTTTGTGGAGATTATCGTAATATAATAGTTGAATTCATCAGTTGATTCACATTATATCATCAAGGACTTTAACACAATTGGATACCTGCTCAGTGGTCTAGAAAATGAACGTTCGCACGCGAGACTGATAGATCCTGGATCCAAGTCCCACATGCGGGATCGTAGATGTGCGCTACTAAGGAGTCCCATACTAGAATGAAACAGCCATCTAATACTTTCATGTTTTCAATGACAGTTTAGCTTAAATCAACTCATAAATTCAACTATCAAGCTAAAAGTTACTTCATGAAATACAAATTTTGAAGAAATCATTTTATATTCTCAAAATATCTTCTATTTTTATTTGAGGAAAACGCAACAACAACAATTGTTGTTCCCCAGAACTCACTTGGGAAAGGACCTAATTTTGTAATTTTATTTAGGAAATTTGAATTTCATTGTTTTCGCACCAAAGACGCTCTTCTCACTTTCATGTCGTATTTCCCACTGGGAAATATCTTAAATGCTATTGGTTTGTTGCGTCTTTTAGTATGCTATTTACTAATTCTCCCCAAGGACGATTTTATACTGTACTGCAGAATATACTTCCCCATTCCAAGATTGGACTTCTCCCTCTAGTTAGCGGGGCTAGGACTCATCAAATAGCTAGCTTACTGGTCTTTGGTCACCGAGTCTTGTTTCTCGTTCTCAGATTAAGTGAACTCGTAATAACTTTAATCTTAGCAAAAACAAAACAAAAATAACAATCCACTGAAAATTGATCGAAAAGGAAAAATAATTTCCATCGAAACAAAACTTTAACAACAAAAAAAAGGTAATAAGGACTCAAAATCTAATTTTGCCAACAAAATAGAAAATGTTTCCAGGTGAACGTTTTAAATTGAATGTAAAACCAACATAAAAACAAAAAAAAACCCTTCAAACTATTTATACAAATCTAAATAGAATATAACATGAATGAATATAAGTGTTTTTCAATAATTATTTAAATTTAATTATAGCGCTTTTAATTCATTTAAACAAAACATAATTAAGAGTAACATTGAACATTGAATCACATTTTTATGTAGGATTTTGGTGAAGTAGATAATTTAGTTAATTGTTTTATCATTGCCAGTTATATGATTGTTGTTGTGGTTGTTCATGTTGTTGTTGCGGTTGTCGTTGTTTTGGTTGTTGTTGATCGTCTACTTTGAAGTTTAATGGATATTTTAATAAAATGATATGAAATCATTTATTTACAATGATCCAAAAGTCTTGTTCTACTTAACGTTGGGTTAAGTGTATTGAAACTTTAAATATAGTTTATGATATTAGTGAAATTGTAAATTTCTGTTGAAATTCTATGTATATCAACTTATATGTAATTGAGTTTGTTTACATTTAGCTTGATTAAGGTCTTTTGTTAACTTATTTAACGGATAGAGTCATTCGTATAAGAATAGCATATCTTACATCATTGTACCGTTAGTTTTTGTTTCACTTGTATGAATATGTATGCTTGTGGTACGTGCTACTTATATTGATATAAGTAGTATATGACACGAGTCAAGAATGTAATGTCTGACGGCAGAAGATAGGGAATATCAAGAAAGGAAGAACGGGAATTGAAAGTAATTAGTATGGAAATGCAAGAACAATGAAGTTCCAGACAAATATCGAACATTTTGTAAATTAAGTATTATAGTATGGTTTTTCTATTTTGTCAAGTAACTCTGTAATGTTGTAGTGAATATAATTCGGTTGTCGTCACCTGTGGTCTTCTTCACTAGACCTAGTGTCGCTACAAACCAGGAGTGGAAGGGTGCTGTTCTGCGAACGCCATCGCAGGCCTGGAGCTGATATGCTAGTTGGGGGCAGTCTGTTGCGGAGAGGTCTCGTCGAGTGGAGTGTTCTGGCAGGGCGTCGTTGGCTGTAGCGAGTACTGTCAACGGAGAGGAGCAGAGGAACGTGCAACTGCTGGGCGGAAATCGGATGCAGATGGCTCAGCAGGCCGGTGAAGCACGGGTGTTAAGCGTCCCAGGTGCCGGGTGGATTGTGCCCGGGCAGGTCGATGGGCTATGGAGGTCAGCGCACCGCAGGCTTGACATTTTGACGGAGAGCGCATCACAGACTTCAGAAACGAAGAATGTGGCACGGCGAGCATGAACCATCACAAGAACGACTGCTTCAAAGGGGGACGTGTATGGTGCGTGCTACTTATTGATATATGTAGTATATGACGCGAGTCAGGAATGTAATGTCTGGCGGCAGAAGATTGGGAATATCAAAAAGGAAGAACGGGAATTGAAAGTAATTAGTATGAAATGCAAGAACATTAAGTTCCAGACAATTATCGAACATTTTGCAAATTAAGTATTATAGTATGGTTTTTCTATTTTGTCAAGTAACTCTGTAATGTTGTAGTGAATATAATTCGGTTGTCGTCACCTGTGGTCTTGTCTTAACCTTGGATTAAGTGTAGTGAACCTTTACATATGGTTTATGATATTAGTGAAATTGTAAGTTTCTGTTGAAATTTAATGTTTTATTATATGAATGTAAATAAGTGATAAGCTTGTAGTTGTTATAGAAACTTATATCCTTGTGATCGGTTGAATTTGGTATTGATTTTAATACTGATTATATATGAGTGATTGTAAGTATAATGAAAATGTGTTGATTGGATCGAATTATTGAGTTAATCCTATGGTTACAATTCATAGTCGACTCATTAATCAAATGATTCAATATTTGTAGTCGTGGTAACGTGGTATAGGAATTCATGTTTTATATGACTTAGTAAATGGGTTCATAGTGTAATCAGCTAGTTGATTAACTTCAATTGTTGATACTTTAATTATCTTATACTCTTATTCATGAATTTTTATTGAAATTAATTTTCATTTGGTATGATTTACTTGAATCTTCCCATTGATCAATCTCTTATTGATATTGCCTTGATAATGCGTTAATTCATAAGCTTTATAAGCAAAAATGACACAATCAAGTGACTGTCAGGACTTAGTAGCGAACAGTACTGGGTTCGAGTTCCGGTGGTGAACATCAACTTCGCAATGTAGGTACATCCAGCTGACTAGTCTCAAATAAGATGAAACGCATGTTCTAAATTCCATTGCTAACCATCAACCATCTATAAATCTAATTTTCTATTCAGAAAATCATAACAATTTCCATTAATTAATGTATATGTAAATGAGTCATTATCAAAATTAAATAAACATTATCAAGTCAGTTAACTATAATTAATCATTTGAATAAACAAATAATACACAGAATTAATTGATAATTAATACATAATGAATGAAGAATTCTCTTCGCTTTGTCTTCTTCTTCTTCTTCTTTCCTTATGTTGATCAATCTGAATAGCAAACAACAAACTAATACAAATAACTATCTATCAGGAATTTCATTTCAATTAAGCATTAAGACAATGTGTATTGTACCGTATACGTATGTATGTATGTGTTATTTTCACAAGTGTAAAATGTAATCAGAATGGGGTTTATAGAAATTGCAGTAGTTTTAATAGTTGAATTCATGAGTCAATGTAAGTTAGATCACCATGAAAAACTTGGAAATATTGGACGGCTGTTTCATTCTAGTATGAGACTCTTGAACAATGTGCGTTCACGAGTCCTCACACGGTATTCGAACTCAGAATATTCGACATCGAGCTCAACTGCTTAACCTCTGGACCACTGAGGAAGCATCTAACGGTGTAGATGTCTAACTTCGATCAATCCATGAATAGCTGCGCAACCATTTTTTCCTTGTCTGAGGTATATATCTGTCTCTAACCGACATGGATTGAATTTCATTAGTCATGGCTTCTGGCCAGAACTACAGGAAATCATTTTGGAGCCATTTCACTAGTAAGCACATGATGATAATGGTCAAGATGGGGTTTGTGGAGATTTTATCAATTTTAATATTTGAATTCATGAGTCGATTTATGCTACACTACCATTGAAAACCTAAAAGTATTGGACGGCCATTTCGTCCCTGTTTGAGTTCGAATTCTACGTTCGAGATCGTGGATGCGTACTTCTAAGGAGTCTCATACTAGTAGTAGTAGTAGTAGTAGTAGTAGTAGTAGTAGCAGTAGTAGTAGTAGTAGTAGTAGTAGTAGTAGTAGTAGTAGTAGTAGTAGTAGTAGTAGTAGTAGTAGTAGTAGTAGTAGTAGTAGTAGTAGTAGTAGTAGTAGTAGTAGTAGTAGTAGTAGTAGTAGTAGTAGTAGTAGTAGACATAGAATAAGCAAGAAATTTGTGTGAATAATTTCTAATGACTGAAATGATGATAACACATGTCAAACAATTTCCTATGAATGTATATTACTTTGTTTTGTGTACATAATGACAAATTATATATAAATATGTATATATTACCTAGATAATAATTGAATGCCATCTGGTCAACTGTTGAATTTAACATATTACTAATACAATCACATGTTGTATATATCATTTACAGAAGGAATTGAGCATGAAAGACAATTATCAGTATCAGGTTGTGAAGATTGTTAAGTTTTTGATTGAGATCAAGAGTCGCTTGATGTTAGACCTTCATTGAAAACCTGGAAGAATTGGACGGTCGTTTCATGCTATGCGTATTGACTTGATATTGCCTCAATTCAATGGGAAGATTCAAGTCAACAATATCAAGTGAATTTAAACTTCATCCTATTGTATAAGCAAGTGGCTATCAGGACTTAGTAGGTAAGTAGAAGTGAAGTGAACGGTACTTGGTTCAAGTCCCAGAATGAAAATCAACTCTGAGATGCAAGTACATCCAACTGACGAGTCTCAAATAGGACGTAGACTCACGTCCTATATCCCACTGTAGCGACTATTCATCTTTGCTTAGAAGATATAGCAGTTTAAAAAAAATAGATCCCAGAAGAAAGCACTATCAATAAAAGTTCAACTATCAACATCAACCTTAATATTAGCAACATTGGTTCACATTGATTGTTTCTTGTTCAAAACAAAAAAACATACTGTTCAACATATGCTTATCATTCATTAGGCAACAATAGTAATCAAAGATAGATAGTCGCTAGCAGTAGAATCCAGGATGCCTGTTTCATCCTATTTAAGACTCGTCAGCTGGATGTACCAAATAGAACAAAACACGCGTCAAACTGGATTCCACTGCTAGTCACTATCCATCTTTGATTACTATTGTTGCCTAGTGAATGATAAGCATATGTTGAACAGTACGTGACTTAAGGCTATATCGAAGCAATCCACACAATATACACAATCCTAAATAACAATGGCAAAATATGAATAAAACACCATCAAGTGAATTTAACAATAGTAATCATTGTTAATTAATAAATCCAAAACGAAACAGATAAAAAAGTAGAATGAAGAATTTAACACGTTCAATTGAGTCATTGAACAAGTGTTTACAACATAACACATTTAGTAAACATTCTAATAATCAATTCATGATTTTAATCTGTGAAATTTCTAAAATCTCCACAAACCCCTTCTGATAATAATCATCTGCTCATTACTGACTGACTTCAAGAAGCATTTCCTGGAGTTCTAGTGAGAAACCGTGACCAGTGGAGTTCAACCAGGTCTGTTGTGAGATATCAGCTCACTGAAGACAATGGTATACGGTGGCGCAACTTCGTGGATTGGTTGAAGTTAGACATTAACACCGTTGGATGCCGGCTCAGTGGTCTAGTTGGTTAAGTGCCTGGCGCGAGACTGATAGGTCTTGGGTTCGAATCTTGCACAGTGCAAGATCGTGGATACGCACTGCTGAGGAGTCCCATACTAGGACGAAACGGCCATCCAATGCTTCCAGGTTTTCCATAGTGATCTAGCTTCAATTGACTCATGATTTCAATCTGTCAATACTGTTTGCCAAATATTGACGTAAGATAAAAATATTTATAAAAAGAAAACTAACACACAGTATGAGGTTTATATTTATTAATTAACTATTTACATGATGATTATGTGTGTAATCTATGTATGATGTAATGATTCAACAAATGTGTTACATAAGAGATTACATATATATATATATTAAACAAAGAAATACTACAGTAATCGAAATATGCCATCATTCATTATGTAATTGAATAATCATAATAATGAAAGGGGAATATTCATTCTTATTGATAGATTTGATTAGATAGGTATTTAGGAAATGCCAAATGTAGCATAGGAATCTTACTTTTCCATTAGTTATTCATTATGATGTTGCGCTAACTAATATTATTTGGAATGAAATAATAATGTTACATAACTGATTATGTAAGTTATTTCGGATGATGTACATAGTAATTCGATGTAGGAAAATGAAGAGGATATGATAATTGTAACTGACAAATTCATTGTTAGTAAATTAAATATGTTGTTCGAAGGATTGAGAGATTGATTTAATCAGAGAGATAGGATTATGTGGAGATTTTAGTAATTTAATAGTTGAATTCGTGAGTCAATTGAAGATAGGTCATGATAGAAAACCTGGAAGCACTGAATTGCCGTTTTGTCCTAGTAGGGGTGTGTTGTGAGATGAAGACAATAGTGAACGGTTGCGCAATTTCATGGATTGGTTGAAGTTGGACTCAGTGGTCTAGAGGTTAGGTGTTCGCGCGCGAGACCGATAGGTCCTTGGTTCGAATCTCGTGGCACGGGATCATGGATGCGCACTGCTGTGGAGTCCCATACTAGTAAGAAATGGTCATCCAGTGCTTCCAAGTTTTTAACCGTGGTCTAATTTCAATTAACTCATGAATTCTAGTATTAAATTACTACAATCTCCACAAAACCCTTGTCTGATTATGTTCAATATATATTTGAAGAAGAACTGAGCAAGTTTTCCGTATTCCGATGAGAACTTATTTTATTGATTTGGAATTTTATTGGTTGTTCTTGATTAATCTGTTCTCTTTACTAGAATGATGTTTGACCTACTAGTTATTTATCGTTGTTCTGATTATCCAACAGACTTGGTTTATTAAATATGCATTTCAACAAACTTATGATTCATACGTTCATAGATCCAGCTGACATTACATTAAACAGAACTTTCTTAAACAGTTTCCGATTTCTCATCAACACGTAGCTATTTTCACACAGTCGATCAATTTCTATTCTAATACTATCCCAGCTTTCTAAGAATGTATTTTTTAATGAGTCTAATCAAATTCAGTTGAAAGTAGGTGTTACAGTAGCAGTAACTACTCCACATTCTCTTCAGCAAGATTTGGGATAAAGAGCAAGTACCAACAGACTGGAAAGACACCTGATCAAGATACCAAAGACAGGCGATCTCAGCAAGTTTGAGAACTACAGAGGTATCACTCTTCTCCCAATACCAGGAAACGTCTTCAACTGGGTATTGTTAGATACAAATGTTAACACAGTTCTACTGTATTTGGCGGAGACATGGACAATTACTAAAGCCATCATCCAGAATATACAAGTGTTTGTTTACAGTTGTCTATACAAAATACTTCAGTTCCGTTGGTCACACTATCAGAAACAACCTACCATGGGAGAGAACAAACCAAATCCTAGCGGAGGAAGAATCAGGAAGAAGTGTTGGAAGTGGATAGGACACATATTGAAGAAGGTACCGAACTACGTCACAAGTCAAGCCCTCACATAGAATCCTCATGGTTAAGCAAAGAAGAAAAGGAAGACCAAAGAACACATTATGTCGACAAATGTAAACAGATATGAGAAGAATGAACGAGAATTAGATAGAACTAGAAAGGAAGGTGGAAAACAGATTTGGTTGGAGAATGCTTTTCGGTGGCCTATGCTCGATTGTGAATAACAGGCGTAAGTAAGTAAGTAAGTAAGTAAGTAAGTAAGTAAGTAAGTAAGTAAGTAAGTAAGTAAGTAAGTAAGTAAGTAAGTAAGTAAGTAGTAAGTAAGTAAGTAAGTAAGTAAGTAAGTAAGTAAGTAAGTAAGTAAGTAAGTAAGTAAGTAAGTAAGTAAGTAAGTAAGTAAGTAAGTAAGTAAGTAAGTAAGTAAGTAAGTAAGTAAGTAAGTAAGTAAGTAAGTAAGTAAGTAAGTAAGTAAGTAAGTAAGTAAGTAAGTAAGTAAGTAAGTAAGTAAGTAAGTAGTAAGTAAGTAAGTAAGTAAGTAAGTAAGTAAGTAAGTAAGTAAGTAAGTAAGTAAGTAAGTAAGTAAGTAAGTAAGTAAGTAAGTAAGTAAGTAAGTAAGTAAGTAAGTAATCAAATTCAGTAATTGAATATTCAATAATTCAAGCCTTAAACTTTCTAGTAACTTTAACTGAAATCAAACTTATCAGGTCAATAAATACTTATGGAATAACACAATTCAATAATACAACTATCTCACTAATCGACTAACTAACTAACTAATCATTAACCAAATATACAATTCCATTTAATCTTTTTCTATTTGATAGGTCGACTTATTGTTCATTCAAGCATTAGTGATAATAATTATTTATTTATCTATTTGTTTCGAAAAAATAAAATTTAATCAAGTTGACCGAGTGAACTAGTTTCTTTTTTGGGGAATAAAAAAGAAAGAAAGAAAGAAAAACAGAAAGAAAAAAGAAAAAAGAAAGAAAAAGAGAAAACGAACAATCATAAAGTTATTTAGAACACATTTTGTAATAATAATTAGATTGTTTACGCTATACTTCACATTTGAAAGTAACCTATGCGCAAGGAGGGTATATATATATATATATATATATATATATATATATATATACTGTGACTTTGGTGAAATACTTATTTAAGTAAATAAACAATATCAGAAGGGGTTTTGTCGGGATTTTAGAAAGTTCAATAGCTGAAATCATGAGTCATTTGAAGCTAGACCACCATGGAAAACCTGGAAGCACTAGACGGCCGTTTCTTTGTAGTAAAAGTTAGACATTAACACCGTTGGATGCTGACCAGCTCGGTAGTCTAATGGTTAAAGGTTTGCGTGCGAGACTGATAGGTCCTGTGTTTGGATCTCGCGGAGATGGGGGCGGGATCGTGGATGCGCACTGATGAGCAGTCCCACAATAGGACGAACCAGCCATCCAATTCTCCCAAGTCTCCTATGGTAGTGTAGCTTCAACTTATTCATGATTTTAACTATTGAAATAAACAATAGACCATTTTTTATTTATCGACATTAAATTGCATTAATTCGATTTAGTTTATGCTCCATTGTGATAAGTCTTATCATAATGTATGTTTTGATTGTTGATCATTATTATGATGTAAAACTTTCCAGTTGAAAATTTG